ATATGGATCAAGGAACTAGGTTTAGATAAATCCTTCAAGGGTAGATGCACATATAATAAAAGATTAATGTGGGAAAAATCTTGAGATTAGGTTAGTAAAGCAATCACGAATGAATATTAGCACTTTCAGAACCTTTAATTTCAAATCATATCAGACAAGATTTAAATTTAACTTGAATGTTATTCCTCAGCACCCACTGATTCAAAAGTCTAAAAACTTATTACGATACACGCTCAATAAAAATTCCGAAATCATCCAACAAAGCAACTTCAATGACGTCATCAAATGTGCCATTCTAGCCTGTATTTAAATATGTAGAATTGAAAACTGATAAAGAAGAAAAGCTGTTTTTATATATTTCACACTTTTTTTCAGATAATACAATGATCTATTTATAAGATGAAAGATTTAAATTCTATTAATAGTCATAAATTACAATCAAAATCTATTATAATCATTTATCAAAATAACTACTGACTCTTGACTTTTTATTTTAAAAAAATTGATGAATTAAAACTATTAAAATTGACATTTAAGTTTATTCAACAAAACTCTCTCGTAAACTTAAATGTTTCTACCATCCTTCATGCTGATCAATTTCTTGTAGTTGTCAAAAAGTACCGTCAGTAGCAGTTTCGTGAAAATATCTGCAACTTGATCTCAACTTACCACGTGCACTAATTTCACATTTTTTTTCCTTCACATGATCTCGGATGAAATGAACGTGAATGTCAATGTATTTGATTCTCTCATGATTCACTGGGTTCTTTGCTAATTTATCACCAACTCGTATCATAGTCGCACCGATTTATTGTTGCTCGAATTTGCCTAACAGATTTCTGAGCCATATTGTATGACATACACACCCAGATGCTGCCACATATTCAGCTTCACATGTCAAGAGCATCACAATTGGTTGCTTCTTTGAAAGCCAAGTAAAAGTCGTGTTACTCATGAAGAACACATATCCCGATGTACTTTTTCGATCATCTAAGTCTCTGCACCAGTCATTGTCGGAGTATCCAATTAACTTGTAATCTTCTGCTTTCGAATAGAATAACCCGAATGATATTGTTCCTTGGATATATCGTAGAATTTGCTTCAACACCTTCCAATGTGAATAAACCGGCTCCTCCATGAACCAACTTAAAATGCCAACATTTAACGAAAGGTTTGGCCTTGTGCATGTGAGATAGCGAAGGCTTCCCACTAAACTCCGATATTTGCTTGCATCGACTCGTTTTCCTCCATCAAATTTCGAGAGTTTTGCACCCAGTTCCATTGGTGTTGATATAGGATTGCAATGTGTCATCTTGTATTTTTTTAAAATCTCCTTTGCATATGTCTTATGTGACACAAAAATACCTGTCTCTTCTTGTCTTACCTCCAGACCAAGGAAAAAGTTTCATCAAACCCAAATCTGTCATCTCGAATTCTCGTGCCATTATGCTCTTAAACTCTTGTATCATCTCATCATTGTTCCCCATAAAAATGAGGTCATCAACATAAAGAGCAACAAATAACATATTACCTCTACTTTTCTTCATGTAAAGAGCATGTTCATAGGGACATTGTTCAAACTCGTTCTCCTTGAAGTATGTATCGATGCGAGAATTTCATGCCCACGGTGCTTGCTTCAACTCGTAAGGTGCTTACTTCAATTTCAGCACCTTCTTCTCTTCTCCACTTTTCATGTACCCGGGTGATTGTTCAATGTAGATTTCTTCTTCGAACACTCCATTCTAGAATGCTGACTTGACATCCATTTGAAATATTGGCCAATTGAATTAAGCCGCTCAATGAGCAATTAGATTCTCTCCATTCTTGTAATAGGAGCAAACACCTCATCATAGTCAATTCTCTCCTTTTGCTTGTATCTCTTTGCAACAAGTCGTGCCTTGTACCATTCTATCTCGCCTTGAGCATTCATCTTTCTCTTAAACATCTATTTCACACCAATGGGCTGACTTCCTTTTAGTAACTCTGCTAACTCCCATGTGTTGTTGCGGTCAATTGCTCTAATCTCCTTGTCCATGGCAGTTTGCCACTTCTTGTCTCGCATCGCCTCTTCAAAACTTATATTCTTGGAATCTGCCAAAAGATTGACAATGTGTACATTTATCAAATCATACAAATCTTGCAAACTTCGCATTTTGGGTTGTTGCAGTTCATTTTCATCATTGGTAGTTACAGGATTTGTCGGCATGATTGTTGGTATAGCGGTTGATTATTCTCTACCTTCGTTGATAACCTCCATTGAGTTACTCCAATCCCACTTGCTTACTTCATTAACTTGTACATCACGACTCACCACAACCTCCTTACTTATTAAGTCTAGTAGCTTGTATCCTTTTGTTTTCTTGTCATATCCAATAAAAATATACCTTTTGTTTTTGTCTTCGAGATTCGTTCTTTGCTGATTCGGCACGTGCGCATAGGCCACATTGCCAAATACTTTGAGATGAGAAATTGTTGGTTTTTGTCTACTCCATGCCTTTTGTGGTGTTTGATCATCCAGCTTTGCATGTGGATAACGATTTTGCACATAGATAGCGCACTGCACAGTTTGCGCTCAAAATTTCATCGGCCTCTTCTTACTCTTGAGCATTGACCGAACCATATCAAGAACAGTCTGGTTCTTCCTTTTAGCCAAACTGTTTTGTTAGGGAGAGTATGGTGTGGTTAGAAATCGCCTTATACCTTGCACCTCATAATACTCCATGAAAGCCATCAAAGTATACTCACCACCTCTATTGGATTGTACCGATTTGATATGTCTATCAATTGCCTTTTCCACCACCATTTTGAACTTTTTGAACACCTTGAATGTCTCAAAATTTTCTTTCACAAAATAAACCCAAATTTTTCGTGAGAAATCATCAATAAAAGAAATGAAATACCTCTTACTGTTAAAAGATTTGGGAGTGATTGGTCCACATATGTCAGTATGAATCAATTCGAGAGGTTCCTTAACACGATATTCTGCCTTCTTTTGAAATGTAGTTCTCGCATGCTTGCTGAGCACACATTCATCCTAAAAAAATTTCTCGTAGTCCATGTCCGATAGCCTATGCACCATGTTCTTCTTTGCCAACTTGTATAGACCACCATGATGTAGGTGACCAAAACGGAGATGCCACAACAATGCCTTGTCTTCTACGTTGACTCGCAAATATTTTTCTTGAACGCTTCTCAAATTCAGTTTATACATGCAATTTCTCCCCATTTCAACTTGAGCAACCAAATGCCAATGTTTATCTTTCAAGTGTAATATCCGGTCTTTCATAAGTACCGAATAACCTTTCTCCATAAGTTATCCTATATTCAAAATGTTGCTCTTGAGATCTGGTACGTAATATACATCTTGGATTGACCTAACTAAGCCATCCTTTTGTAAATAACAAACCGTACCTTGGCCTTTGACTTCAACCTTCGACGCATCTCCAAACGACATATGTTCAGTTTCAACCTTTTGCATCTCTTTGAATAGGTGCTTGTGCCCACACATATGATTGCTTGCATCCGTGTCAAGGTACCATATCGTGTTGTTGTTGGTGTTATCTTCGTTGTATGCTATCAAGAGAAAAAATCCTTTTGCTTCCTCATCTTTCGTGACTAAATTGGTTGTCTCTTCCACCTTTTTCTCGACTCGACATTCTTTCGTAAAATACCTTACCTTGCGACAATTGTAACACTTATCGGAGTTGCAATCCTTCGCATAGTGACCATATTTGCCACACTTGTAGCACTTGATGTTGGAATAATTCGATCGACTGCCTCTCCAACGGCCACGTCCTTTTCCACGCTAATTTTGCTGGTTGAAATGTTCTTTCTCCTCGTAATATCCTTCTTGGCCGCGACCTCTACCACCACAACCATTTCCTCGACTTTCACGAACACGTCCTCTACCTCGAATGTTTTGAGAATAGAGTGTCTTTTTGCATCTTTGATTGATGCCTTGGTTTGAAGTGCTTGCTCAAGTATCTCCTCCCCCTTCTTCTTCTTACGTTATTCGTGTGCCTCAGGAGAACTGGTGAGCTCGTCAACCTTAAGTGTTGTTAGGTTCTTTGACTCTTCTATAGCACATACGACATTCTTGAAATAGTCAATTAATGACCTCAAAATCTTCTCCACAACTCATGCATCAGTTAAAGCTTCTCTATTTCGTTTGAGTTGGTTCACCATGGTTTGAACACACGTGATGTAGTCGAAGACCCCTTCTGACTTCTTCATCTTCATGCTTTCCAACTTGCCAGGAAGAGTTTGAAGGCAAACTTGTTTAACCCGATCAGCTCTTTTGTACACATTCGCCAAAATGTCCCACTCTTCTTTTGAAATTGTCGTATTCGCAATCTTCTCAAAGCTCGACTTGTCAACAGCTTGAAACAACATGTACAAAGCTGCCTTATTTTTCAATAGTGTCTCTTTCAACGTCTTGTGTTGAGCTGCCAAATATCCCGTGGTAGTTTTTAGTTCTTCGAAACTTTCTTGGACCACCTCCCAACCATCTTGAGACCCAAGAAGAACTTTCATTTGGATGCTCAATTCTCATAGTTTGCCTTTGTTAGTCGGGGGCAGGGGCACATTATTAGTCACACTCGCCATAAGCTCTTAATACCAAATTGTAGAATTGAAAACCGATAGAGAAGAAAAACTGTTTTTATATATTTCACACTTTTTGTTAAACAATACAATGATCTATTTATAGGATGAAAGACTTAAATTCTATTAATAGTCATAAATTACAATCAAAATCTATTATAGCTATTTATCAAAATAACTACTGACTCTTGAACTTTTATTCTAAAAAAAACTGCTAAATTAAAAGAATTAAAACTGACATTTATGTTTATTCAACAAAATATACATATAAAGAATGTCCATATCAGCATCAACAGGAACATGATTGAGCCTCTTCATCCATTATGGATTAAATGATATCAAAGACATATGTGATCAAACCCAAGTCTGAAACAAATAAATTATCCTTGGCTATTTTATCACTGTCTCCAACGTTGGTTGTTGTACCTCCAGCGTGAGCTACTGCGGTTACAATCATCTTTGGGAATATCATATTGCTCCGGAAGGTACCTTGTGCTCCTTCTAGCTGTTGAAATAAGAAATTTGAGTTACATTGAATTGTAAAAGGGAAGAGTTTAAAGTTAGAAGCCAGAAATTGTTTAAGTAGAATTAATGCTTGAAGAAAGAAGTTATTGATATATATAGAGATTTCTAGACTTCAAGAAAACGTTTGAGAAAGAAAAGTGAAACTGATGTAGCAACCTCTTTCATGTGCTTGGTATCCTTGTTGAAGTTTTATCTTTGAGGTTTCAAGCTTCTCATCCATTATTGCAACATAATTTGATGACCATCGTGACTAAGGAAAGAAATAGGATAAGACAAGATGAAATAATTAAGAATAGAACCAAACAACATGCTCCAGCTTGAATTTTTGGAAATAATCCCTTCTTTTATCAAACTTTTACGAACTAGTAAAATAAAAAGCGAATATTCTTTCAAAATAAGATGAATCAATTAGGCAAATTATTCCTGTACTTACGTGTGGAGCAGCATTTGATCTTTGATGAACTTTGTCCTTGTCCTTCTTCATAGTACTCTTTTGATCATTTTCAGCATCTGTCTGCTCCTTTTGTTTTCTAAACCTTTGTAGGGAACATTCCGTGTCTGATGATGTATATTTCATTTGGTTATTGCATTTCTCACTGGATTTTTTCCATGCCCTTTTTTGGCGCTTGTTAGTTGGGATGGTTTTTGAGTCGTCTCCAAGTTGCAACTCCAGTTTTCTCTTGTTTTCAGTTATTGGAGGATATGTTTGTGCCTCATAAATCACTTCAATTTCAAAGTTTTTGTGTGAAGGTGTATTGTTTTTCGGACTAATCAATTTGTCAATGAGTTCTTGCTTTTGTTTCTGGATGGTCTTGATAGATGCATCTTCACCTGCATGGTTATGAATTATAGGATCTGCTTTGCATAAAGTGCATACGATTTTAGAGAGTCACAACTCAGCTAGAGGGAAGAAAACCAAAACTATAAATCCTCAGAAAGTAAGAGACTTACTTTCATCATTGTCTAACTCCTCAAAATACTTCTCTCGGACAAGAAATTAAGCAGATCACCAAGGCATATCGGCCAAAAAAAAAGGGCATTTCATTACTTTCAATAAAAAATAATGGAAACAAAATCAAGCTTACGTACAAATAAATAGTTATTTACCGTTGCTAACTCCACTTTATGTATGTTGCCAATGTGAGCTCCTTCATCCATTGGAGGATTAGACAATACATGTTCATCTAATGTGGTAGGAGGGTCAGTCCTTCGCTTAAAATGTTAGCCACTGTTGGTTCTAGTTACTGTCTACTTTCAGAATATGATAAATTGAGTACTCGAATGTAAGTCAGGTGAATTACTACTATAATCTTAATTACCTGACAGGCCAGCTTTTTCATCAATTTCATTCTCTATGATCACCTTAAACTTACTGCAGTAAATAAATAAGATATTATACTTTATTAGCTATTTCATTTTAAAACCAATATTTTGTGTATACTATATATCCCTAGCACAAATACTGGGAACTTGAGATAACTTATCTATATTACCTGCTCCACTGGGAAACCCAGCCACAATATTAATTACATACTGTATTGTTTAATTAAAAATGCATTCAATTCAGAGTACAAAAAAACGAGGGGAAATGGATCTTTTAATACTATATTAATTGTTTCATGTTGTCAAGCAATAATGTTCCTTTTGATGAGCTTGCTTCTGGATTTTCAATCAAATCCATTTGCTTATTATACATAAATTCCACTCATCATGATGCATATTTTGATGTGGATTAAAATTCCACAGGCTTCATAATGACTTCACAGCCGTAGAGCAGAAAAACCCAGCACCTAGTTGGTAAGCTCTTAAGTTCATGTAGACATGCATATGTTCCTTAATTTAAGGCTTCAAGTATTTGAACTCTTCCGGATCTAAAATTTCAAATTTAGTGAGATGAGAATAATTAAGCAAGCAAACACAGAAAGCTCTCCTTCATCCATGTAATTGATATAGAACCGCACCTTTAGAAACTATCTAAGATTTCGTTTTCCAATGTAGTAAAGTTTAGTTGTTTTAGAAAAATGATTCATCAATTTTTTATTTTTTTTAAATTAAGTAGACAATGAATAGAACAATGCAATTTCTTGCTGCAGGAAAACATCTTTAATGTAAAAAAAATGCTTATATATATATGGTCTTAGCAAAAAGATTAAAGCTCAATTTGGGTAAGCTTCTGTAAGAGTGTTTGTAACAAAAATTAAAATAAGTAATTTTTTATAAGTTAAAATCTTATATATCTAATTGCTTTGGAAAAGTAACTTAAAAAAAATCTAAGAGTATAAACTAATTTTAACTTATGAAAAAAAAAATTATTTATTTTATCTTTTTATTTCTTTTTCTCTAAAAGTACTTTTACAAAATTTTATCAAAATTAAACCTGAATCACTAATCTTTAAAATCCCCACTGTAGAAATAAAGAAAAGCCAAACTAAAAAACTTGATGAAGACATTTCATGCATTTCATCAATCTCTACCTTGTCAGTAAGGCAAAGCGAAAGAAAGAGAGAATAAACAAAATTTAGTGACAGGGTCAAAATTTGGATAATGGGAGATAGAAAATTTTTTATTTCAACAACAACAATTAAATTTTATTTTCCTAAGTAATTAATCATACAATACTATTAAATTCAATCAAAAATCAAAATTTCAAAAATAAAAAAACCTCTTACTCCACATTAGAAAAAAAATGTGTCATTTTATTTTTAACAGTATCCTATTATTATTAATCAATAACAAGAGGATTCAGAAATATTGAGACGTCTTAGTATCTAAACTTAAATAAAACATTCACTAGCAAAGGCACAGGACTCTTACTCAGCAACCCTTTTTGCTTCTCGAATAACCCTCTTCGACCAGTGCAGTTGAAGATCACATACCGTCGTTCCTATATCTGTAACCTAAAAGGAGACAGATGGAAAGAAGAGATGTGAGGTTCAACATAAACGAATGATTGAGAAACACAAATGAAGACATTATCTTATACCATCAGTACTGACAATGGTATCATTTTTGTTTAAAATTAACCTGACATGATTTGGAAATATGATTGACTCTGCATATATAATATAATAACAATATGAATTTAATTCCTTTAAAGTGAAAGATATATTTTATGAGGAAAATGTACTTACAACCTTAATTATAAAAGAAAAAAACTGTTATAATTGTAATAAAATATGTACATATTTATAATAAATTACGAAGTTATTAAAGTTTTAATGGTTAGATTTTTAATTAAGAGCACTAACTTTGCTTCACTCTAAGAAGACAAACCCTGAAAATAAATGATGTTTTTTGTGATTTGCTAATATGATCAATGAGTTTGATTAACTTCAGTGATCGATATATTTAAGCCTTGATTGATGCATAGTCAACAACCATGAAGAAAAACCAGCCAAAATAATTAGTGGCTTTTGGGATGATATCTTAGGCGTATTTCTTTGAATACTTTGAAAGAAAATTATAATACATAAAAAAGTTAGAAGTACCGAATTGAAATGGCTTGTTAAAACGCTGTACAAGAAAATAGAGTTAACTTAATTCAAATTAAATAAGAGGAAAGAAACTTAACAGAAAAGTCAGATTCCTTTAGAAAATTGATCAATAAGCATATATAGTAGAATTTGGATTTTGGAATCTGTTGGTACAGAATTCAAATCTTATCTGTTGCTACGAACTGATTCATAAAAAGAAAATAATAAGGAAATATACTTAACATAAACCCTAAAAAAAAGGGTAGGGAGAATCAACATTCATAAACCCAAATCTATTCATTCTTACCATTAAATCCTTCAAAGAGCATACAATATATGTCAGCATCTGCAGCCCAACTACTAATTCTGTCTCCGTCTATCAAAATAAATCCCAGCACAAACTAGTCAAAGTCAAAGGAAAAGTTGCAACAGCTAAGCATAAAAGCAGGCAAGCTTATACATCCATACTTACTCATATTCATATAGATTATATACTAACAATATTTATATCTCTCATTTTTGTTATCGTTTTTTTTTTTTTGAACTTATCGTATGTTTAACTATTTCTTCTATTACTATCACTGCTGCTAGTGAATACATAATAATCATTTTTCTTTCTTTTGGATACACCATATATTGCATATATACATACACAATAATTAATCATTCTTCATTCCAATAAAGTATAGAACCAGCATAAGATTAAATTATGTTAATAATTGGTTAAATAATCGAGTGAGACTGACCACATTTTCGTTGTTGACAAGTAGCTTCTTGATCTCCAAAATATGATTAATGTTCTCTTGCTCTTCTATGTTGTCATATTCCTGATCAGTTCCTTCCATGCTGCAATTGCTCTTTTCCTCAAAACTAATTATTTCAACATGTCCGCTTAAACAATATGTGTTGTTGTCTAAACTAATTATCTGTCGATCATCATTGTGAACATCTAAATGAAGCTTACTAGAAGCACATTCAATTTTCTTGTCCATGAACTTTGGTGTCTTCTATATGTAATTGATGCTGATCCATTCAATTGCTGCAATAACGCACCCTGAATTGGCACGAGTAAAGTTGCTCAGCAATTTGATCTCTCCGGTTGGAGTATATATTAATAAACACACAACAAAAAATGTATTTTTTTTACAACAAACATCTTCATAGTACTGCTTGTGAGCATTGGATTCACACAGATCACAAGAATGACATTAATCAAAATCTATCAACTTGTTATGATCTATTATTTCTGTTAGGTCGGAATATCCCCCTTCTACTCAATCATGTATATATATATATATACACACACCCACACTTTGATATGATCTAAGCAGTAGTTTCACCGAGCAAAGACATGAACCTAGAGCTATACCAAAAAATCTAGCATGCAATTGATGAAAAACGAGTTACCTCAAAAGATGAAACGGGGGAAGAGGGTCGGAGAATGAGAGTGAAAGCTTCTCATGTTGGTTTATGGGGCTGGGAGAGTGAAAACATTTGGACAGAAATGATACATAAGAGAAACAAATTATGACCAACAAAATCAGTAAATTCCACTATTTAGTTTGGAAGAGCGGTGTGATTTCACTTCTAAATCCTGCTAATTTGGTAATTTTGTAGCGGATTCGTGCTATTAATCTTTAATGCCTCCAAAAATTTTTCATTTCATAGCGTTTATGGATACATAGTAGGAGAATGTTGAGTTGTTTTAAAATTTTAAAATGGTTACGTGCAAATATTGATAATTTTCCTATTCAGTAACGTTCCTTCAATAGAATGACGTCCCTTCGTTTGAAATCATTCTTACAATAATTAATGAACCTTCTATTGTATACCTTTCCATCTTAGCTTTCACCCTGGTGAAAACTCTGAGAGATACTGTATCCTTAATACAATTTAATCTAATAATATGTATGGTTATAGTTTTAAGGTGTTTTTGTTTTATATATATTAAAAAATTTGAGAGGATATGTATCCATCTAATAGAGAGATAGTTTTTAATTTAAAAAATTACTTGGAAGTACTTACATTAGCATGAGTTATTGTTTTTGGTTAGCTTGAAGATATATGAAAGAAATTTACTGGCTCAGTGAAATTGGAAAGTTATACATGCTCATTTTTCTCGGCAGGCAATGCGCGCAACAAACAGTTACCATATATAATTGGACACATTCATAAAATGTTTAAAAAGGACCATAAGAGCTACTTTTACATTAAGTGGATAACTATGATATGTACACAAGCGATGCATTATTTGGCATATATTTAGGGAAACATTTTAGGACAAAAATATTTCAGTTATGACACATTTCAAAAATTTTACAATAAGATTGATAAAAATAAATAATAATAATAACAAAATTAATAAATACTAGTACATATTCTATATATTATTATTACATTATAAATGCATTAATATTAAAATCATTTTTATCATCATCAAGAAAATATTTTTTAATCAAAATAGTTAATTATAGTGTTTTTTAATAAAACAAATTCATTTAAATTTAATAGTAAAATATAGTTTTGATATTTCATGGAAATTTTATATAAAAAGGTAAGCTATAATTAGCAAATATTTTTTCATCTCTTTAAAAAATTATAATTGAAAAGTTTACTTACTACTATTATTCCCATGAGTTATTATTATTGTTATTATTGTTTCATCTCATAGAATTAAGATAGGTGGTTAAAATAGAAAAAAAATTATCAAAATTTAATATAAGTCATTCAATTTTTACTTTCTTTAACTAATTTAAAATATTTAATGAGATATATTCAATAACTTTATGCCATATATTCATGAGTATATTATTATTATTAAATCTTTTGGGCAAAAGGAAAGTGAATTAATACACACTGAATACCAGATCTTGGTTGAATCACCGCACTCATATCATTTTGGTAGGACTCACATCACGGATAATTAATGTTATAATAATTTTTTTATCCTATTAATGTTATATTATTATTAATTTATATATATATATATGTATATATATATATATATATACATTTGATATTTTAAAAAGGTAATTTAATAGCTATTTAATAATTCAAAAGATTGTTAAAAGAAAGTCGTACGAGGATTTGAAATTATTCTTCACATCTCAACTCAAAATCTTAGGACAGTGATAGAAATGCAAAGTTTTTCCATATCCGTGGAGATGAGATGGAATTATCTATCTTGAACAAAATGGTGGATTAGGGTTCTTTAATCAACGAAGGTCCAATGGGAAACACAGTTCTTTAATTCTTTATGCATTTCAAGATTTATCTTATTGAATTTAGATTGCGAGTGTGGTATAAAATGATTCTGTGATATATATATATATATATACACGATCAATTGAATAAACAAAACATAAGCGTTTTAAAATTATAATGACTAACTATAAGCTCGTCCAATACTATAAAAAAATTTAAATTATATAAATATTAAAAAATATATAATAATTATAAAAATTTAAATTAATCTAATAATTTTAACTTTATTATATTTTATATTTTAATTAATAAAAATTAAATTTTTATACTATTATATTTTATACTTTAATTAATAAAAATTAAATTTTTATACTTTTTAAATTATTTAATAATTGTAAATAATCAGTAAAAAAGAAGTAGAATGAAGAAAAGTTATTGAAATAATTTGTATAATATTAAATAAAGTGGTAAATGAGAAGCTTTATTAGAGTATTAAAAATAATAAAACTCACACCACTTTAATTTTTTTTTAGGAAAATCTATAAGTAATATAAGCCCATTTATCAAAGAATAGTAGTTTTTTTACACTTATTTTTTCATATATATCATTTTCACCCTTTTTTTATTTTTATTTTTTGTTCTATTACATCCATTATATCTTTTATTTTTCTTTATCATATCTAGTTTACATCGTTGACAGTGTAAAAGATATATATATAATACCAATATTATAGTCAAACAAGTTTGTAAGTATATTAAAAAGAAGTGTTAGTTATAATAACTTGCTAGCCACACTTTGAGTTAGAATGCGAATCTATCATCTATGGATCGTAAATATGTTTATACGATAACATTACACATTTTACTTTTTACACTTACAAAATAAGGATACAATAATTAGATTAACCTCTAAATGAAAAAATTCGATTGGTTTATGACATCATTTATGATTTAAAAATAGTTATTGCATAAGATAAAACTAAAGAATTAGAGTTATCCCAAAGTCACCAAGCATGCATGCCGACTTATGACTTTCTTCTCCTTGAGTAGCATCATCGGTGAAGTTCTAAAACATACACAATGTGCATGGATTCTAAACAAAAATATGGATACAGATTCTCTATAATTTACACGAGTACTATGTGGTAAAAAAAATTCTACTTAAGTGAATTTTGATATGTTTAAATAATTTTTTTTTTAACTTTCACTTAAATGAACAAAAGTTTAATCAAGCAATAATTATATTAACTTAAGTAAATATTGAAATTAACATAAAATAGTATTAGTAACTCTCGCTTAAATAAGAACAAATATATTTAAATAAATATTAAAATTGTTAATTAAAAATTGGATTAAAAATATTATATTTCAAACATTTTCCTTCATTTAAGGAAAACACTTTTCACTTAAGCAAATCTCAATTCGCTTAATTGAATTATAAATTTCTTAAACAAAAATTAGATAAAGAGCACCACATTTCATAGATCCTTATTTGTTTAACAAGTGCTTAAGTAACTTAAGCAAATCATGTGTGATTTAAATGAATTTTGATTTACTTAAGGAAAGTTTGTAGAAAAGTTAAAAAAGAATATCAGAAATTGGTCATCTAATACAAAACATAAGTCAATACAACAAATTTTAAAAGAGAATGAGATATTTTTATTATATATAAAAATTTCATAATCAGGTTGTAACGGTGAGGTATCCCTCAAACAAAATACATTATGAAAATAAATTAAATATGAAATAAAACCTAAAATGAAATAATGAAAAAACAAACTAAAATCATGATTCTTGTGTAACATTATCATGTATAGGTTGATCCTCCTTCATGTGGTCTCTTCCCTCCATAATATGTTGCTCTTCATGACCCTAATCCTCTTTAGCTTGATCCTCTTCTATGACTCCTTGATAGGGATTGCAATAGATAAACTACCTGATGGACACCCATAAAATTTACTTACAACGAATAAGGTATTTACTCGCTATCTAGATATGGATACTACCTAAGTATCTAAGTACCTACTCCACCCTATACTTGCATAGTAGAACAATTAATATAGATATATATATATATATATATATATATATATATATATGTGTGTGTGTGTGTGTGTGTGCTACTTATATAAAGTTATATAAGATTATTATAAAAATATATTCAATAATAAAGTAAACCAAAAAAAAATATTTTGGTTCATATTTTTAATAGAAAATTTACTATTTTATATCATTTAACTAGATTAATACAATTTAATTATTACATAATTCATATGAGATTGACATTTTTTTTAAAACATTATTTATATGACACATATACAATATTTTTCATACAAATATTTTTATTAATAAAATTATATTGATATTTAAATCATAAAGTGAATGATAAATAATAAACATATTATAAATTTTATGATCACTTACTATTATCGTAAGCTTATTATTTATTGATAATATTTAAATTTTATTTTTTATATTTCAATTTAAATTAATATTTTTTATGCAACATGTGCATTATAAGTACAACTATAATTTATTAAATCTAAATAATATTATATTTACCATTTATTTATATTTAAAGAAGTTTTTAAAAAGATAAAATATAAAAATATCATTAATTTTTCTTGTTAATTTTTTCTTCTGATAAAAATGTATAATTTTTTATATACACGTATATTTTTTTATTATAAAATTTTATTATGACTATTTATCTTTTATTCAAATTCTTTCTTTTAAAATTTATATACATTATAAATATTTAATTCATTAAAATAATTTTTTAAAAATT